GGAGCCAGTTCTAGTCATGTCCTCCTCGTCATTCAAAGACAATATAATGCTCTTTACAAGTAGGCATCGGCGAATTTTGAGTGTGGCTTACCATATTGGACGGCCGTAGGAAAGGAATGCGAAGTATCTGGATCATTGGTTGAGGCTCATCGTCAAAGTAAATTCGAATCAGCCAAGTGGGAAACGGAAGCAGTTGACGTATGTACTATGATCGATATCATCAAAACTGGGCTTTTCAGACGAGCATATTTTTGTAACAGTTTTCGGAAGAGCACTCTCAATAGCACACGGTCGTAATACAACTGCCATTTGCTTACAAAGTCATGGAAGACAATTGCAAAGTGTGGATACAAGTCGATTCTAAATCATTTTAGAAACACCAGTCACGGGGAACCTGATTAAGTTAAGAGCGAAGAAGATAGCATGAGAGCGATACCAAGTCATGGTCTAACTTTTGGAGTCCTAAGATCTGCTGGAGATTTGAGTACACCAAATCCAAAAAATTATGTTCATTTTTCAAGAATCACTGGATGCAAGCACGAAAGTAATGTTTGATGGCGGGCACTACAAGTTTGAACACGTCCCGTGGATAGAAGTCATGAACAATGAATTAAAAGAAGGTCGATTTCACAGACACCCCGAAGAAGTTCTAGAGTTTGACTTGGAAATCATAGCTTGGGTTTACGGTGGAAAGTTGCAATTAGGCTGTCTTTTTGATGAACAGACTGTAGATCGGGATGTAGTAAAGGAAATAGTTAAATGTGCTGCTCGTCTGATAAACACTCTTTCTATGAAAATCAACGCCACTCATACTGATGTGTCTGTAGGAATACTGGCAGAGTTCAATATCCCACCAGAATGCGTTGCAACAATAAAAGAATCTCTACAGCACCATGATGTAGTGGTAGACCACATACGACTTCATCTTCCTGAACAATTCATTCAATCAAAATACAAATCGGTTAATTGTGATGCGGACATTCTCGTAGTCATACCGAGACACAGAACAAATACAGAAGCCAAAGAATTTGCTAAAGTATTTAACGAGATCAAAACAACGATTACCACCAAAACGGTAGTATTGATCGATACCGAAACCATTTCAAATACCGCATCGATAGAAAGCCTTATTCAGGCGGATGTTAGAGTTCAAACGCCTGAGCTTATTGGTGTCAAACATTATGACAATGTTTCAGATGAAGCTTACCATATGCCATTCACACATGTAGATTACACACACTTCGGATTAACCATTGCAAAATCCATCAATGCTCGAATCAACAAAAGTAGGTACAAGGCTATTGCAGTTGATGCGGATTACATACTGTGGGAAGGTGAAATTGCCCAAGGACAAGTAACCTTAACTTCGAGCAATATAGCACTTCAGGAATACTTGATGAAACAGAAAGAAAGAGGTATGCTGTTTGTACTGTTAAATAAGAATAACACGAATGATATTGATAACGCGTTCGCCCAGCAAATAGATTGCATGACTGTAAAACAAAATGACTTTATAGACATATGGCAAACTGGGAATGTAAAGCTACAAATATTAGGAGGGTAAATTGTTGAATGTTGGATTGGAATCATTCGTCTTAATTGATGACAACGCTCTGGAATGCAAAGAGATGTTAAAATCTTGTTCAAGTGTACTCACACTTCAGCTACCGAGTAGCAGCAGTGGTCTCATTCTGCCGTTGATCAAAAACTTGTGGGCGTTAGTTGCGACACACTCGACAAGTGAATCTAGAGAGAGAACTGAAATGTATCGAGGTGAATTTGCAAGACAAAAAGAATTGCAAACTGTAAAAAGCAATGACTCATCTACTGTCGATTTGACCGAAATGCCTCTGAACTGGGAAATGAAGCTTTTCTTTTGCAAGAGTTCTGTAGCTTCAATAAAAAATAACAAACAGTTGTATGCAAGAGTATCGGAACTTTTGCAGAGAACAAATCAATTTAAACTCAACAACATTAACCTTATTTTAGATCAAATGAGCCCAGAATCACAATGCTGGCTTGTAGGTCTCAGTGATAAACACGGCTCATATGGAATAGTGAGTGTGTGTATATTGTCTGATGATGAAGATTTTTGTGGGAGTGGGTAGACACTTCATGGAGTACATTACAAAAAGGTTAAGCAACCTACCACAACATGTACCCAATAATTCCAGAGTGTTCTCAGCTGCAACATAATTCGATAACTAGTAGATGTGAATCCATGACTCAACGGGAGAATATACTCATGGAAGCGTAGATGGAATCATTGCATTGCAAACATGCACCGCAGGATCAGAGTAACGTTTTTGAACATGGGGGAAACTCCTTTAAAGCAGTTTTCCTTGTTGATAATGAGAACAAACACTGTCACATTATGGGGGATTTCAATATCGATTCACTTATATTTCATGAACATAATTCAATTTATTCTTACCTTAATACTATTTTACCTCATGCTTTTTAAAGTACAATTTCGAAACGAACAAGAATAACTCCGACTAGTGCTTCGCTTATTGATCATTTTTATTCGAACCAAATAAATTCTAAAATCAAATCTGAAATTATAAGCGACGACATTTCAGACCATCTGCCGATATTGATGGTGATATATCACCACAATAAACCAGTTACTGCTCAATCTTTTTGTTCTAAAGATATTAATGCCTTGTGCAATGATTTACTAAGCGAGAATTGGTGTGAGGTATATGAGTCTGATAAAGTAACTTTCGATTGTATTTTAAATAAATTTTATAGTATCCATCTTAAACATCTTGTGTCCACTAACTTTAAATCAAATAAACGCTTCAGACAACCATGGATGCCTGACTCTCTTTTGAAATGTAGTACACGTATGCACAAGCTTTATAAAAAATATTTAAATTTAAGTGACCCTATTCATAAAATTAATTATACAAATTATATCAATGTTTTTAACCAATTATGTCGCACTGCCAAAAAGAATTATTTTTCAAAATTCCATCAGTGCAAAGGTAACTTAAAAACACATGGTCTATTATAAATTCTGTCATCAATCCTCGAAAAAAAAAATAATTATGCAAAGTTGATTAAAGTTGGCAATAAAATTATTGCCAATGATCATGACATATGTGATTCTTTCAACAAGTATTTTTTATCAATCGGTACCAACATCTCTGATTCATTATCTTCTTCAAATATAGATCCATTATCTTATTTACCTCCTTCCTTTAGCAACTCTTTCTTTATAAATCCCGTTACTGCACATGAAGTTAGCCAAATTATTTTAAATTTAAATTCTTCCAAAGGATGTGGTAACGATAATGTCACATCAAATGTTATCAAATGTGTTTTCCATCATATTATTCATCATCTTAATTACGCTATCAATTTTTTACATCAGTTTCTTTCCCAGAATATTTGAAAATCGCGAAAGTTATTCCTATTTTTAAGAAAGGGGACCATGGTCAATTATCAAATTATAGACCCATTTCATTGCTTTCTGTTTTTTCTAAAATCATTGAAAAAATAATGTATTCCAGACTTTATAATTATCTAACACAATTAAATTTATTAAATAAACACCAATATGGTTTTCAAAGCTGCACTCTACTTCTCTATTCTTGAACTTACTGATAATGTTACTAAATCTTCGAAAAAAAGAAATTTATGTTAATCCTATTTATTGATTTATTAAAGGCATTTGATGTTATTGATCATGGTATCCTAATTCGCAAACTTCATAATTTTGCAATCAGAGGTGTAACACTTGACTGGTTCAAAAATTATCTTTTCAATAGGAAACAATTTGTTTCAATGGGTTCTTTCAAATCATTGACGAGGGATATTACCTGTGGTGTGCCACAGGGCTCAGTGTTAGGCCCATTACTATTAATTTATGTTAATGATTTAAATAATGTTAGTGACACATTACAGGTAGTATCTTTCGCCGATGATACCACTCTTTTTTTATTTTAATCAAAATATGGATGTATTATGTAATACTGTTAACAGGGAATTATTCATATTTGATGACCGGTTCGCTTCAAATAAACTTTGTATAAACACCCAAAAATCTAATTATATTATTTTTCATTCTACTTTTCTTCTAAAATTACTTTAAAAAATTAATTTTAATAATTATAAATTTTTTCTTAATAACAAAACTATTGAGCGTAAAACAGAAACTTTATTTCTTGGTGTTTACATCCAAGAAAATTTCAAGAAGTGGACCAGTCACCAGAACTAAATTTTTTTTTAAATATCTAAAACTATTGGCATCATTAACAGGCTCAGGTTTACTTTTCCTGAACATATTCTACTTTCCCTTTATAATACCCTTATTTTACCACACTTACAGTATTGCAATATTGGCTGGGCTTCTGATTATCTTTCAAATTTGAATAAACTTGTTAAATCACAGAAACGTGCAGCCAGAATTATTATAGCTTCATCCATCCGAACCCCATTTGAACCTTTATTCAAACGACTGAAAATTTTAGAATTTATTTGATATTTACAAGGTACAACTGGAAATTTATGTTTCAGTATTCAAAAATTCGCTTTCTATTCCTATGTTACAATTGTTAGACACATCCACTCATATAATTTTAGAAATGCTTCTGTTCCAGTTCCCTTCGTCAGACTCAGAAAAAGTCAATTTTTTGTTTCTGTTGCTGGTCCTAATTTATGGAATGATCTTGATGTTTCAATTAAAAATTCAGTTTCTTTACCTGTCGTAAGTAAAATTTAAAAAGAATATTTATCATTGTACCAACAGTAAATGATAATGGTAGTTTCTTAAGTTCATCTCTCCCTTTAATTTATTTATTTATTTATTTTTATTTACTTCTTTTTGGGGGGAGGGTTATGACGAGACAAGTTTTTTACTTCTAGTCATGATCCCAATGATGGTGGTTTATTATTTGTATTGTATTGTATTCTATTATTATTTCCATCATTAAATAAATGTCATTTGAATTTGAATTTTGAATTTGTTGTTCAACAGGCAAAGGCCATTGACGATGTCTACACTTTGCCACAAGAGATTTCCTCTATCGTCATATCAACAACGTATGGTGATTTTACAACAAACGTCTCCCAAGTCAACAGCTTACGTAGAGACAGTGTTTTGCCGTTTATCAAAAAATATTGAACCCACTGATGCCATAAAGGCATTGGCTGTTAAGCATCCAATGCTTACCTCCAAGATTGAAATGTCCAATGATAACAAAATGTACACAATGAATGTTACAGGTCAAACACTATTTGATATTGAATCGGAAACATTGAATGAAAAAGACAACTTAAACGATTATGTGATAGAGTCTACACCTATAATTGATGTTATTTCTTCCCCATTGTACAAGTTCCGTCATCTTTTTACTGCTACAAATAGATCTTTCTTTGTACTGCATGTACATCATGTGATTGTTGATGTCGTGACACTACAAGCTCTTGCTAAAGACCTTCAAGCTATTGCTACCGGTACACTACCACAATCAGAGCCACATGCATATCATTATTCAGAGTATGTGGAAAACGAAGAGATGTACATGACCACAGTGCAGCACGAATCCGATAAGACATTCTGGACAAAAGCATTTTCTAGCTTACCTCCTGATGCAACTTTGGCCACTCAATCAAAATCAGAATATAGACAGACTTCTGCTGCTATCTACAGAGCAAGAGAAGAGGTTTGGGATCTGCCTAAAGAAATGATGAAGGAAATCACAAAATATTGTAAAGCGTTAGGAGTAACACATTTTCAGTACTTTCTCTCGTGTACATCTCTAGTACTTCAGAGATACCTTGGCGTTGATGATTTCATCATTGCTATACCGGTAACGACAAGAAGTGATATGAGCATGAAGGCAGATGGGTTGTTTATCAACACAGTGTTGTTCAGAGTCGCAGTTAACAAGAACCAAACACTACAAGAATTTGTCAAGTACATCTCAGTTGAATGGTGGAAAGCGCTTTGCCATTCCCGGTATCCTATAGAGCAGGTTACCAAATCACTGTGGAAAGAAAACGGCAGATGTCTGGATACGCTTTGCAGCGTTATGTTTAACTTTACAACACATTGTCAGACAGATGAAATATTTCGAATTGGTTCAAAACATGCAAAAATGCCTCTTAGTCTTGATATCATTTACAATGAGAAAACAGATTCATGCAGGCTGATATCTGAATGGGCAGATGGCTTGATAGACAGCGACACTGCTAAACGGCTATCTAATGCCGTAGCAATGTTCTCAAGTGAAGGATTTCAAACCACAGAAATGCTTTTTGAAAGAGAAATCCTTTCTCCTTCTGAACTTCAGCTATTGCTATCATTCAACGCAGACCCTGATCATTCTGAAAAGTACCACCTCCCAGTTCACAAAGAATTCGAAAAATATGCTGCAAGAGATGCTACAGCTACAGCAGTATTTTTTAATGAAAACAACACATCCTACGGTCAGCTAAACTCTATTTCGACAAGAATCGCACATTTTTTGAGTAAAAGTTTGTCAGAACAAGTTCTTCAGCAGAACCCTGTAGTTATCGTTATGGAGAAAGACCAGAATGCTATAGCATCTATTCTCGCCATATGGAAAGCTGGTGGTCATTTTCTGCCGGTTGCTTTGAGTAATGAAACATGTTTGAAAGATATATTTGAGTGTGAAACACCAGCTGCACTTTTGTACAACGTAGAAACACCCACGATCAAATTCGTATCTACAAGCTGTCCTGTATGGAGTGTCGAGGATATATTGAAATTTTCCCAAGATGCACAAGTAGTTTGGAAATCTAACGAAAGCAGATCAACGGGAGGTGACATTGCATACGTCATTAGGACATCGGGGTCAACAGGAAAACCAAAACGATGTCAAATTTCTCATAAGAGTCTCTGGATTATTGCTGAAGCCTGGAAACAGAAGTACTCGATGTCAAAATCCGTCATCAACGTTCTTCAGTGGGCACCTCTATCTTTCGACGTGTTCATCGGTGACGTTGTACGAGCATTAGTCTGTGTCCAAGGAAAGTTGATTATTTGCCCCGACAATCGCAGATTGGATATACCCTATATTCGAAACCTTATTAAAAAACAGCACGTTACCTTGTTTGAAACAACGCCACAATTCGGATTGCAGATCATCAACAATTCTGACGCAAAAGATCTCGAATCTATCAAAGTCTTTATTCTTGGATCCGACGTGCTTCATGGACACGTATACAAACAAATTAGATGCCGACTAAGGTCTGATCAAAGATTAATCAATAGTTATGGGATGACAGAGGCCACTATTGATTCTTCCTTCTTTGAAGGAGATGAAGTGCCAATAACCAGGAGTGGGACTGTCCCAATTGGGAAACCTCTTCCAGGTGTAATGATGTACATTCTTGATTCAAAGACGCTTCAGCCATGCCCTGTTGGAACCATAGGTGAGTTATACATTAGTGGTGATATACTTGCAACTGGAGATGTAAAGATGGTCCAAATAAATTACTTCCAAAGACAGGCTTTGAAAACAGGAGATTCTGCCCGTTGGCTACCAACAGGAGACATAGAACTTATAGGTAGATTGGACGACATAGTTAAACTAAGAGGCTTCAGAATTAGTACCACCGAAATAGAAAACAAAATAGTAGGCCTTATCGATGGAGTAAAAGAAGCACATGTAACTGTCATTTCAAATTATGAAAAGAGCGAGATAGAATTTCTGTGCGCTTTCTTGGTAATAGAAGAAGGTTTCCAACAAAGAAATACAGTAACACATCAGCGAGTGACTAGCAAATTGAGAAGTCAGATACCATACTACATGTTGCCCGATAAAATCCAAATCATAAGGGAAGTTCCTCTCACATCCCATGGAAAAGTTAACAGAAAAGCTCTTCCGAAAATTGTACATACTCCAACGCCGATCTGTCACACACAGCAAATCGACGCAAATACAGCAACAATTACGAAATTAAAAGAATGGTTTGCTGAAGCTCTCGATTTAAAACATCATGATCTTGTAAGCAATAGTAGGACTTTCACGGAACAAGGTGGCCACTCTCTTATACTTGTTCGATTCTGGTCACTGATAACGAGTAACTCTAATTTCAAAATAGAAATCGCAGACTTATTTTCATATCCTACAATATCCTCCTTGGCAGAATTCATCAAAAGCCAAGAGAAAGTAGGAGGGTTACACATGATGCGTTAAAAGCCGCAAAGCTGAACCCGTCGGATATCACATTTGTCGAAGGGCAAGGCACAGGGACTAATCTTGGTGATAAAATAGAATTTTCTCCGCTATCTACGGTATTCAGAGAAGACATGCGGGCAAGACCATTGCCCGTAGGTGCTTCCAAAATTATGTTTGGCCATCTTGATTCAGCTGCTGGTTTATTAGGCGTGTTTAGAGTACTGGCATGCATGGCAATGCAAAGCATTTCACCGACGGCTAACTTCAAGATACCCCATTCGGAGTTCACAAATTTACCTCTTTATGTTCCATCTACTATTATACATTGGGAAACAAATGGAAATAGCAAACGAGCAGCAGGTGTGAGTTCTTATGGTCTGACTGGAAGAAATTGTCATGCCATTCTTATCCAGAAAGAATCATCTTCAAGACGTTAGTTCATATGATAAATCAAGCTGCGTTATACAAAGTCTACATCGAACAGATGGCCGTAGGACTGCACACAGGTTTAATTGAAGGCTTGTGTTTAGCAGTAGCTACTGAAAGAGTATCAAGGTATCAGTTGGCGCATGGTATTAGATGCTAGAACTACGGAACAACTGTTGAAATTCTTAGACATGATCTCCACCACAGAAAATGTAGAATATATCATGCGCTTGTCAACTACGAGGTCCGATATTCACTTGCAAAATTTACAACATAATTTGGATATAGATACACGGCCTTATATTCTACAATTTCTGGAGAATGGCGTCATAGATATCAGTCGTCTCTTTAATGACAATCATACCAGAATCATACCATCCTTTGGGGTTAATGTGGCCTTCTACCAAAAGTCTCGTCTCGATGCAAATTCTTCTCAAGAGGAAAGATCTCTATATAAGGAGAACTTTATTGATGTATTCCAGAAAAAAATAGCGAACGTCAGGGAAGTGGTAGGATCGTTACCACTTTCGGTGCAGCCATTATAGTCAATCTATTACGTAGCACAATTCTTGAACACACGTTGCAAAACACACAGAAAACATCATTTGAAGGAGCATTTTATTCCACGGGGATGCTTGAAAGATACAAGAAGCTTTTTTTTGTAATGATCAGAGAACTTTGGAAGAACAACCTGCTGGAAGCAATAGGTCAGAATGAATCACTCTGCTGTCTTGATGTAATTAAGTTCAAGTGTGAAGACTTTTTAGATGTTGATGCAGAAGCTATTGCGAAATCTGCCATTTATCTGCCAAAGTATTTAGCATGGGCTGTTTGCTTTAGATTCCCTCTCTACTGCTCGAGACATTTCCGCAAAGTTCTTTGAGGTGAGATGAGTCCACTTTCTGTTATATATCCTCAAGGCGACTTGAAATTTATGTATTAGTTCGACAAACTCGGCGATCTGCTTGGATACGTATACTACAATATGTACATGCAGGTGATAGCTGAGTATCCTCAACAGTTGCTAAGACAGGGAAAACAAGTTAGAGTGTTGGAAGTAGGTGCTGTTGTTGGAAACGTTACCAGACAGCTTTTGCCCAAACTAAGGAATACACGTAATTTAGAGTACTGGTTCACAGATCTAGGAAAGGCATTTGTAGAACAAGCAAAGACAATGTTTTCAGACTATTTGTATATGATAAGTTTTCAACATTTGACATCACAAAAAGTCCTCCAAAGCCAGATCTTTTTGGTTTATTCGATATTGTAATATCGTACAATGTTATACACACCACACGAAGTGTTAAAGATTCTGTAATGATCCTCAAGTCATGTCTTGGTGATAATGGTACATTGTTTATTATTGAAAGTGCAAGAAACGACACGTGGGCAACACTGGCTTGGGGCATACTGGATGGGTGGTGGTATTTTGAAGATTACGATCTGCGACTATCTGATCCTATGATAGAACCTGGAAAGTGGGAACGAGTTTTATTTGAAGCTGGCTTTGAGTCAATCTATTCTTGTCCTCAAGATAAAAACGAAGACGCCACGATGAGAAATTTCTATTTATATGTAGCCCATCTTCTTCGTCACAAATTTCCAACGAAGTTAAGTCAAATTTAGGTTGGTGGGAGACTGAAGTAGATCGATTCGATCCCATTAAAAAGTGCGATGAAATAGAAGAAGAGAACGACGAGACAAAAGCCAATGAAGTAGCCTCAGTAGTTGATGGAAATACAATATATCTGGAACTCAAAGCTATATGGTGTAATCTACTTGGAATAGAGGACATTGATCCGGAAGGCAATTTTAACGCACTTGGAGGAGAAACCCTCCTTGCAATACAGATGATGAATCTTGTACGAAAGCGCATCGGTTAGCAACTTGAAATAGCTAACACTCAATTCCCTTGCAAACTATATCGTTAATCAAATACTGGAGCAGATTAATAATGACTTGAGCTATGAAAAATTTCAAATGTTATTCCTCAGAAGGGCTATCATCTCAGAGGTGAACAAAATCAGTCATTCTATCACTAGAACAACAGGTCTAGTAGATTTTGTTAGTGACACGAGCTCATCAGGCACTCTGCCTATGTTTTCTGGTCAAGGGGCACAAAAACAGGGAATGTGCATATCTATGGTGAAGAGTCCTGGAGCACGACAAATATTCGATAGAGCTAAAAAAAAAAAGTACTTGGATACGATTTGCTTGAAATCTTCCTGAATAATGACAATATGCTGACACAAAAGCTAAGATCTACAGAATTTGTACAAGTAGCTTTGCTTGTGGGATGTGTTGCAAAGATTGAACAACTTAAGATAGAAAGAGCAGATACAACAGCTAGTGTTACCCACGTAGCTGGCATGAGTGTGGGAGAATTTGTTGCACTGGTGTATGCTGAAGTTCTAGACTTTGAAGACACATTACGTTTGGTCCAAGAGCGTGGACGATCTATGAAACTGGAAGTGGAATGGTCAGTGTGTTTGGTTTGAACTGCGAAACAGGTCCAGACCACCTGGAGACCAACTTTTCTGGAATGCGTATATCTATTTCAATCACACATCAACACACCGTCGGCGGAACCGTTACCGTACTAAATGCGCTGAATTAACACATTCTCTGCTGAACGAGTTCAAAGAAGAAATCATCGATGTGCGAAAACTTCGAGTGGCTGGTGTATTTCATTTACATACATGTCAGAAGCTTCAAAATCAATTGATCCTATGATCGAGGGAACTCAATTCTGCAGTCCAGCTTTACCAGTAATAATGAACGCCAACGGCAAACTTGTCAATGATCCTAAGGAAATCAAGTTTCCACTCTGCAAACAGCTTGTCAAACCAGTACAGTGGAAGAAGAGGTAATTACCGCTTACGATAGTGTAATACGCAATTTTGTCGAAGTTGCACGAGCGTGGGTTCTCTCTTCGATTGTCAAAATTAGAATATCACATTGCTTAGACAGCAATAACGAACTAATAATTGTGTAACTGGTATAATTGTTTAGCAGTTACATCACTGACCGTGTAAAACAGACTTGACTATGGGTGAAACGTAGGGTTCAAATAAAACATACTTTGTTTAATATTTGCCAAAATGCTACTTTTGTATTTAACTCGGTTTTTATTACAAGAATTTATTTAATCAGTCATACTGATTATTCTATAGATATTACTGATTTTTGTAATTACGATTTGATTATTGTTCGAAACTATTTTGCGCTGTAAATTGTAAGTGTATATTTTTAAATTTAAGGTTACTGTCTTAAAGGTTGATTAATTTTGTGGTGTAGGCCTACAATAGTGAAACTAATTACCTATTTTAACTTCCGGTGATAAATTAACTGCAATGTTTTGCATACTGTAAATAATTAATTTTATATATATTCCGATTCATTACGTAACTCTTTAAACATACGGGAAAATGTCATCAATGCTGAATGCAATTAGTTTGCTATGTATATAGTGTTATTATAGGTTATGAATATAAGTGCAACCAATTTAGCGCATGAAAGTTTACATGAAGATATTTTCGTACTCTGTACAGAATAAAGGACATATAGAAAGTGAAACCATTTATACTGAATAGAAGCAAAGTATTTACACGATTCAAGGTATTAGATACGAAAATAGTTAAATAATTTCTGATTAAACATTTCTCAAAGGCCCATTTCGTGAACCACAGCATCACCTAACCCCCATACTTTTTGAGATTCTATACCATTTAAAACAAGATTGCTGACGCATGTATGCCAAATCTAGTCTGAGTTCATTTCTTCTTGTATAAATGCGCCTTTTTATTTTAAAATTATTTTTGTCTAGTGGACAGCCAATAATTAGGGCCTCAAGGTCTTTATGCAAGGGTTTCATACAGATTTTATTGCAATTTAGTTCCAAGCATAATATTTCAAATGCAGACAAAATTAAAACGATCATGAAATGTTAATTTGAGCTAAGTGAAATGCAGTGCATACTTAAAAGTATTATTATTATTATGATTATATAGACCAAATAATCATTTAAATCTGTAAACACTTACACTGAATTTTTAATGTAAATATGACGAATGTTGCAGGTAGGATTTAATTATAAAGACTGTTTAAGTAGACCTACTGATATGTCTTGTTTTTTACGCAATATCAATTATATTGCTGTACATATTTTGAAATATTCTAAATATTGTATACTTTGATTAAATTGTTACGAAATTATTGTTAATATTGAAAATGTTAAGCAATATATACAGAAATGATGTAAAAATTATCAAATGATCAAATTACTTTCAATCTACTAACAAAGAAAGAATAACTTTATAGTTCCATTGATATTTTTATGATACCCACTGATTTGTGGAGTACTATGTAACCAGTCATAATGTAGAGTAAAATAAATACCAATTACACTGTATATACTATATTTTCAAGTCCATACCAGATATTCTGTTCAATTTTAAACTGATACATTATGTAAATTTTGAAGTGCAACATTTGCAACCATACCAAATATAGTGTGTATAGGTCTACTTTATTTTTATTTTCATACTAGATATTCGGTTGAAGCAGATATATGTCTATTATGTAAATGTGGA